ATTTCTGCTTATTGGCTGCAAGTGTTGCCGCTTCCCAAACAGGTGTTGCAACGTATTGACTCAATTTGTCATAGTTTCTTGTGGAGCGGAACTGACGTTATCAGCAGGAAGGCCCCAATAGCATGGGATTCGGTGTGCCAACCTAAAGTGGCTGGGGGTTTGAACATCTACAATCTGTCTACTTGGAGCCAAGCCTCGTTAGGGAAGCTTCTTTGGAATATTCACATGAAGGCGGACCGGTTATGGATTGGATGGTTGGATACGTTTTATTTCAAGGGGTGTAATATTCTAGAGTGGCAAGGTTCAAATACTAGTTCTTGGATTGTGAAGCGTATTCTCAAGCATAGAGACATCATTAGTAGTAATGAGTATTGGCAGGATGCAGTTGCGAACGGGAAATATAACACAGGCTGGATGTACAAGGCGCTGCGTGACAATGTCCCCCATGTTAATTGGAAGAAACTGCTGTTTGACAATTATGCTAGGCCCAAAGCCAACTTCTTCCTTTGGATGGCCTTATGGAAAAGGATTCCCACTAAGAGTAGATTGAAGAAACTTGGATTTGTTGATGACAGTAGTTGTGTCTACTGTATGGAGGAAGAAACAATTCAGCACCTCTTCTTCGAATGTACGCACACAAAGAATGTTTGGCTGGAAATCTTAACTTGGCAAACATCAGCCATTGTCCCCTTGAATGGGCTCAAGAAACTAAGTGGATTTTAGGAAGAACTAGAAGGAATAAGCCATGTGGGTTGATGTTGAAAATGGCTTTTACGGAGACCATATATGAGTTATGGCAGGATAGAAATTGTTTTATTTTTAACGGTAAACACTTGGAGGGGAATATTATTGATAGAATTAAGCATATCATTAGAACAAGATGTAGTAAGCACGGGATATTAAGTAGCCATATAACAGGCTTACTTAATTGAGGACCATTTAGATTTTTGGATCTCCAGATCAGTTGTACTTAAACTGTTTTTAGTTAATAAAGTATTGCTTGTTCTCCAAAAAAAAAAAGATTTGACACCCAAAACTCATCAAAATGGAGATAAATTTTGTCAAAATAGTTCAAAATGTAACTTGCTATTCAATCAAGTTTTACTTTTGCCTTTTGGTTTGTTTCGTCTGCTCTCTTATACTACTATAATATAAAAATCTATTTTTAGGTTAATGATATTTTAAATTTTTCCTTTTAAGTTATTTATAAAATGATTTTATATATTTTATTTTTATATGATAAATAAAATCAAGTATTTATATATTTATTTTATCCTCCAACCTTTTTTTATCTTGCAACTTTTGATCTCTTTCTAGAAATAAAAAGAAGAATATTTACAAATAAAAAAATAAAAAGGGTTTGTTGTCCATCTTTGTTCCTTCAATATATTTCATAACACTTTTTTATCAACGAAAACTAAAATGTTTAGAAAAGTCGAATTTACTTACTCTTTCTTTCTTAATAAAAGACAATTTTGTTATAAAAGAAGTGAATAATTGATGTTAGATGTATATTGGACAGAGTTCCTGATTGAAAAGCAATGAACAATTTATATTAATTTTTTGACAGTACAACTAATGTGTGAAACTAGAAGTAAGAGTGCAATCAATGTAAGAAATGACATATAAACTTTCAACATAAATTTTTTGACAAATCTTCACACTCTCATTAAAGCTTCACTCAAGCATCATTCTCATAAACTTAAACCACTAAATCAAATTTAAATCACTATAAAATGCAATAAAATCAGAAATTTAAATTCAAATAAAATTATTATTAAAAACGGTAAAAATATACTACTACAAAACACACAAATAATAACGCTCAATTTACTATAGTTCTTCCAACACCGTGGTGACATATTCAAATCCACGGTATTAATATTTTATTTTATTTTTTATCAAAAATTGTTAACATATAATAACGGTTGCATCTATAACCGTAGTTATAGAATATGGATTCGAAATTCAGTATATATATATATATATATATATATATATATATATATATATATATATATATATATATATATATATATATATATATATATATATATATATATATATATATATATATATATATATATATATATATATATATATATATATATATATATATATATATATATATATATATATATATAAAATAAAATCACGGGCGAAAACTTCAACCGTTGTGAGTATATTTATATATAAGTGAATTAACTCTCATTCTTTCACAGCACTGACGTATCTATCACAGCAAAATCCTAGAACTCATTTTCTCTTCTTCTTCATTAACATTCTCATTCTAAAATATAACTGTCAATCTTGTTCTTCTTACATAAAGGTATTATTTTTTTCATTACTCTCTCGTTTACGTGTATATTGTTGTTATGTTTCACTTGATTTTCCTATGAATTTGTTCTTGTTAGATAGTTTAGGGCTCTTTTATTGTTGTATGTTGTTGTTGTATGTTGTGTTGTTGATAAATAAGTTTGCGGTTTCACATGTTGATGATTTTCATGGTGTTTGCGGGACTCAAGAAAAGTGAATGAAAAAACAACAGCAAACTTCATCTAGTTTTAGAGATGTAAGAAGTATGAAGCTATTGTGATAACTTCATCCACCTTTTCTTTTTATGGCTTCACAAACTAGATGAACCTCATATAGTGATGATGATGGTGATAGCAAGCGTAAGTAGTTAGGGTTCTTTACTTATTGTTTCACTAACCCCTCATTGAACTTGCATTCATTTAAAATTATTTTTAAGATAATAATTTAAAAAAGTATGTTATTTTTGAAAATTAACTTAGACGATCTAATATTTTTTGAATTGCATGCCACTATAATTATTACAACAATTGTTTATGTTAAACGTTGTGATAGACATTTTACCACAATGATTCCTGGACCCGTAATTGTTGTAAGTACTGCGTATACAATTACACTCTACGTAATAACATCTAGACATCTAGACCCACGTGATTATATGCATTTTATAACCGTTGTTAAATGAATTTTTTTTAGTATAATATTATTAAAATATATGAAATAAATTAATAAGTGTCAATACTTCTAAATTGACATAAAATATTTCAATAATTGTGTGAGAAGCAAAAGTTTCATAATTTTCGATATTATCAAAAAGCAAGTCATGATACACAATTGTAGTAGAGCTGTATAACTATCCAATCAATTGTTAATCTAATGATCCAGTTTTATTTAAAAATATTTTGACAATCATGATAAAGGCTTAAATTAGTGTATGTGAAAAAGGTAGATACTGCATAAGAAATTCTCTCAGTAGCAGTATCAAACCATTAGATTCTTTTATTGAAAAAATATCCAACCTTTATTTATTTTATTGAAAAATACCAAATCACTTTAAATATCCTTCTTATTTAAAGTAACATTAAAATCCATATATGAAAGGAATGGGAATTTTCATGTATCAGTTGGAATAAAAGATTTGCACATTAGGTTTGAAGTAGGTTGGGAAGAGAAAGAGATGAAAGTGACAAGAAATATACGGTTTAAAAAAAAAAAAAGAATTGGAGAGAGAAGAAGATCACATGATGATAAGATAGAAAATCAAGATGATTAATTTGAACCAACAAGTTAGAATCACAAAAGAAAATGATTAAAAAAAGTACATAGGATAAGTAAAAGTGAAGCAATTGGACAAAAAATAATAGGGGCATTTTGAAACACTCATATGTAACTAAGGGTTAAAAGAAAATCATAATTAAATAATTAAATTTATTTGAAAAAAAAAGTAAATTTTTAACATAAAATACCCCTCAAATAGACACAAAACAGAAACACAGAAGTGTGGACAGATATAAATTTTTCAGAGCTATTAGTTTTCTTATATTATTGATTAGATAAAAAATAAATGAAAAAATTGAGATATTTATTAGGATAAACACTTGTTTAATCTAAAGAATATTAAAAGTTGCTAGCATAACTCCTTATTAAATCATGCGAACATTTTTCTGGAATAACCAAGAATTTCAAATTAACTATTCAAATAATTAAGTTTTTAAATATGAAAGTCATTTGGGGTGGTTCTACGTGTATTTCATTTTTTTTTTGTATTTCCTTCTGTAATTATAATAAATAAAAGATTCCTTTGTTTGATTTATTAAATAGTTAATTTATCTAGTTTACATAAAAATCAAATACATGAATTATTTAATAAATTTAAAAAGAAAATATTTATTTATAATATCGGAAGTAATAAATATTAAAGATTAAAATACCCTCTTTTAAAAATCATATCAAATGCTATGAAGAAGATATTAAAAATTAACAAATAATACCCTCTTTTGAAAATCATATCAAATGCTATAAAGAAGAAAATTAGAGAGACTATAAAAAAAATTAAAGAGAAAATGAGAAGAAATGTGAAAAAATAATAAAGAATGAAAATTATATTTATAAAAAATTAAAATACACATAAGAACCATATGAGATGGAGACATACATATATAGGCACCACCCAGTGACACATCCATATAAAAATTGTACATGTCACTTGAGATGGCACATAGTCAGACTCAACCTAATTATTTAGGCAAATAATTTGAAAACTTGGTTATTTACATAATTAAATTAATTTTAAAAAGTTGGTTATTCCAAAAAAATTCAAAGCATGCACTTTAGTAGTTTATTTCAAAAAGTTTTGATTAGAGATTGATATTTTGCAATTGTTAACATAAGTCACAAACAAATCATACCAAATCTTCATACACATTTCTGTCCAAAACCAACCATTTGTTTGGGGTAAATTGCATGAGTTAATCAACAACAGAGGGCATCAATATAAGGGGTAGGATACTCTTTTTTAGACATTGATACAAATGTGAAATGCACGGAAGATACAACATACAGAGAGCACTTTTTATATTTGCTGCGGCAAAAAAATCCATAAACAAAGAAAAAATAGAGACGATATTAAAAGTATTGAAAAATAGTAGATAGAGGCAAAGGCTGAAAACTCCCACCACAGATATGACTTAGGCCTTCTCCCATTTAAGAGGCTTCACCACTTCCCATGTGAAGTCAGGGTCTTCCCTACCAAAATGACCATAAGCAGCAGTCTTCAAAAACCTGCCATTTCCACCCCTCAAGAGATCAAGGTTGATAGAGATCATGCCAGGCCTGAAATCAAAGTTTTCTTTCACGATCTTGAGGATCTCCCTGTCAGGTATCTTCCCTGTTCCATATGTGTCAACAAAGACAGACAAAGGCTCAGGCACACCAATAGCATAAGAGACTTGCACAATGGCCCTCCTTGCTAGTCCACTTGCAACAATGCTCTTAGCAGCCTGCCTCACAATGTAAGCTCCACTCCTATCAACCTTGGTTGGGTCCTTTCCTGAGAAGGCACCACCACCGTGTGCACCCCATCCACCATAAGTGTCGATGATGATCTTCCTACCAGTGAGACCAGCATCACCATGAGGACCTCCAATAACAAAACGGCCAGAAGGGTTCAAGTGGAAAATGGTCTTTTCATCAAGGTACTTCTCTGGAATCACAGGCTTGATAACATGCTCCTTGAGATCAGCAGCAATCTCATCATTGGTAACAGTCTCATCATGTTGAGTAGAGATGAGAACAGTGTGGACACGAATAGGAACCATGGCACCCTTGTCGTTGTAATACTCAACAGTAACCTGAGTCTTCCCATCAGGCCTCAACCAAGCACATGTACCATTCTTCCTAACCTCAGTAAGACGAGCACCGAGCTTGGTCGCAAGAACATGACTCAAAGGCATCAACTCAGGAGTCTCATCAGTAGCATACCCAAACATATGCCCCTGATCACCAGCCCCAATTTCCTCAGGCTTCTTAGTGAAATGACCATGCACACCCTGAGCAATATCAGGACTCTGCTGCTCAATATTCACAAGAACCTTACAGTTATCCGCATCAAGACCAACATCTGCAGAAACAAACCCAATATTCCTGCAAGTGCTACGAACAATCTTCTCGTAATCAACATCCGCCTTGGTAGTAATCTCTCCAAAAACCATAACCAAGTTAGTCTTGGTGCAAGTCTCACATGCAACCTTACTGTCTGAATCCTGTTCAAGACAAGCATCTAGAATAGCATCAGAGATCTGATCACAAAGCTTGTCAGGATGTCCCTCGTTCACTGACTCAGAAGTGTATAGGAAAGTCTCTGTTGCCATCTTTAGTATCTGCAAAACAAAACCCACACAAAAATCAACAACAAATCCACACATAACTACCAAATTTTCAACCATGCACAAATCAACCATAAATATAACCCTAAAATCTTCCAAAACCCTAACACCATGAATCCATATCAAACCAAAATCAACTTAACCATTTGCAACATAATCAACCATTTCTTCAAAATAAAAGCATATTAGCATGTAAAATTTACCAGATCTGAAATTGTAACGGACCGCTTAGCTTCAAATTAGGTTACCCGAACAAAATTAAAAACAAAACTTAACCTAATTTCGAAGAAAAACAGCACAGAAATGCAAAAACCTAACCCAAAATAGAATAAAAAAGCAAAAAAGAATAACTTGAAACGAAGAAATGAAGAAAAAATGAGAGTACCTTGAAGGTAGTAGAAGAAGATTAGAGAGAAATTGTGGCTTCGCTTGAACTTGAAAATGTTGCGGTGCGAAGCTGTACGAGTTGTAATGTGAGGAGTGAGGCTCTAATTTATAGGCAAAAAAAATTTCACGACTGTGAAAAGGTTGGCAGGTTTGGAAAGAGAATGACGCGTGAATGAGGTTTGATTCTGGGTTAGGTTCATCCATTTGCATGTGCGCCTCTTCTGCGAATGAACGGTCATGATTTTGACGTCATTAATCTCAACCGTTGATCGTTTAGGAAAGGGGTTGGTGAATGGTGAGTGAATTCAAGTGTAAGTAAAGGTGGATTCCACACTTCAACAAACAGCTATATCTTACTTCATCAACTTTTTTTTTAATACAAAACTCTTTTTTGACAATTCGTACTATTAAGAAAAAAACAAAATTTATCTAGATTTTTATTATTTTTTAATATATATAATGATAAATATATATATTTGAAATGAGTTTTTTAATTATAAAATAAATAATGATAATATAAATTTGATATAAAAAGAAGAAAAAATACTCGTGAAATAAAGAATAAATTTTTTTTTGACTTTTGAAAATAAGAATTTTGTGTCTCAAATAAATATAATTATTAATTAAAATAAAATAGGTATTTTACTAATAGTGACCCGTGAGAAAAAAAGAGAAATTTTGATATTTAAAAATAAGAATTGTGTATCTCAAATAAATATAATTATTAATTAAAATAAAATAGTTATTTCGTTGATAGTGGTAGGTGAGAAAAAGAGAAAATTTGACATATGAAAATAATAATTTTGTTTCTCAAATAAAGATAATTATTTAAGAAAAAAATATTAACATTTAAAAATAAGAATTTTGTGTCTCAAATAAAGATAATTGTTAATTAAAATAAAATAAGTATTTTGTTGATAGTAATATATGGAAAAAAAATTAACATTTGAAAATAAAAATTTTATATTTTAAATAGTATAAATTATTAATTAAAATAAAATAAATATTTTTAATAGTAATCTATTAAATAGAAAGTTAATTGTGTCTATAGCTATTATGTATTATCAAATTTCATAAAATTAATTATTAATCTTATTAAAATTTAAAAATAGATTAATTCATATTTTTAATAATAATAAATAAACAAAATTAATTAAATTTATCATAAAAACAAAATTAAATGCAAAATTGTATACATTCACACACCAATAAATATTTAATATGATATTATATACTATAATTAGACATTTTAATATATTTAAAATAATTAGGAGAAGATAAACTAATTAAATAGAAAAGATAAAATAATAAAATGAAAGAGAAAGAATAATGAAATTTTGTGTGAAAGAGTGAGAAGTGGGAAAAAATTGAAAGTTGAAAAGGTATCATATAGGAATTTGACACTTGATAGCATTTAGTTGGAGTAAGGTGAATTAATTTAGAGACTAAAATTTTACTATTTTAACTTTTTGTAAATGTAAAAAAATTAAAGTGAAAAGTATTATGGATAGTTTGTAATGTATACATGTCTAAGATCTATATAAGAAAAGTAATAGCCAATTTAATTATATTTTTATCCTAATTAAATTACTTCCTAAGCCCTATTTTCATGGACCTAATTGTCATTTGCATCTAATTATAATATCATTAAATCAAAAACAATAATTAAGGTCTATTGCAATCATCTACTATCTATATAAGAAAAGTAATAGTTGATTTAATTACATTTTTATCCTAATTAAATTACTTTCTAACTCTATTTTCATGAACCTAATTGTCATTTGTATCTAATTATAATCTCATTAAATCAAAAACAATAATTAAGGTCTATTGCAATCACTACTTAACTTCATATCAACCACTTTTTCGGCTAAACCAATTCCCACGATTAAATTTTTGCGGTTCCAATAATTTCAATATCTTTTCATATTTCCTTCACACATTAACCAAGATATTCATTGATTCCAACAATATTTTATGGCTTTTAGATTTTCTTCACACATTAAAATACAAACTTTTTTGGATTCTAACGTATTTCTATATAAACTCTAGCAGACCTTGGATTCATAATGTATCAGTTATCCTTCACCAAGTATACTGTAAAGGTTTTATTTTTTTGTTCTTCTTCTTAAACCTATTTTTCAGTCGAAAAACATCTCCACAAATTTTGCAAACACCGACAAACTGCACAACGACGACGACAGATTTTGCAAACATTTCCATGCCCTAACAAGCTACACAAATTTTGCAAACAACGACGACATTCAGCGTAACAACACACACGGATCAGAGAATAAGAGTAGAATAATTTCATAGCAAAAAATAGCAACAGAGAGAGATATTCAAGCTTACTTGACTTCGCCATAATTATATTGTCGTACGCGTTTGACGTGTAAGTTTTCTCATCTATTCGCATTTTCTTTATACCATTTTGTTCATCATGAATTGATGGTTGTAAACCTAGTAATAATTGATTGATTCCATTCCTGAATATTGTGTAATTTCGTTTTAAGGGTTTAGGGATTGTGTTTTGAATTCAAAATCAAATGATATTGGTGAGGTTTAATGAAATTTTGAGTGTGGATTTGCAATGAGGGCAAAAAATCGAGTGAAACTATACTCTCATTTTTCAATGGAGTTTGTGAGTTTGAGTATTTTAGGCTACTGTTGTGAAGAAGCAAAGAACACGAACTTGAAGAGAGAGGAGAAGCTGATTCTGAAAAAGTCTCACGTTTTCTCCTACTTTTGTTTTATATAATTTGTTAGTTTTTTCTATTTTTTAATGAGTCGAATTTGGAAACCGTATACATGATAGCAATATTCATTTTATTTCAATCAAAATCCAAGTCATTCATTGTCTCGGACCATATTTTATGGCTTTTGGATTTTCATCACACATTTAAATTTTGTTGAATTTTGTAAGCTAACAATAACTTATTGAGTAATTTGTTTGTTTCTGCAGGTTCTACTAACAACATGTTTTCTACTTAACATGTTCACACGCTACCAAATTCATCTAATTTGTGTTTAGATGAACAAATGGTCATCAACTTTTTCTTATAAATTCATATTGATATCATTGGACTTTTATTGTCAAATGCGTTGTTATTAGCTGTAATCACAACAGTGATGTTGTCAAAGACTAGTAAGCAGGAAAAAAAACATTGCCCAATGCCATGCAGGATTGTAGTAGTACGACCATTGCTTATATTCACGACCATTGCTTTCATTTGTTTAAGTTTAAAATGAAGGTTAGTGAAGGAATCATTTTTATTCCTTGAAATTGTATGTAATTATTATGTGATTTTCAACCGTTTCATCAAATAACTGAAAAGATTAAATATAGATACGAGAGTCGTCACCACTACTTTTTATCTTAAGGACGTGAGAATAACGGATAACCCTAAATTTCCAGAGATTTTATGGATTCGCGAGTTGGTCAGATAAAGGGAAGGTGTTAGGAATCATTTATCTTCTTTGTTCTCAAGGGACTTCCCATTTAAGTTTTACGTATATTGGGAATTTCTATTTAACTGTGTTGTTTATATATATATATATATATATATATATATATATATATATATATATATATATATATATATATATATATATATATATATATATATATATATATATATATATATATATATATATATATATATATATATATATATATATATATATATATATATAAAGATTTAATTTTTTTAGTTATGGGACTCGTCTTGGTTTTAACTGCGTGCCTACGTATCTTCTTGCAAAGAAATCAGAGTTCGTTTCATAATTTGTTATGCGTTTGGTTAGTTTTTTTTATAGGACCGCGTAGAATTGCTTTCGAATTAATGTTGAGCCTTGTATGGGTTTGAAAAAAATAGTGATCGTAGACGCAGTTTGCAGTTAAGTTTGATAGCAATTCTATTTAATCTTTTTTGAAAATGTGTTGAATTTTATAAAGTTAGTAAAAAACAGTTTGAAATTGATTAGCTATTTTAATATATGATAAAAAATATATTTGAAGTTAGTAAAAATTGTTTTTATAAATTAAACAAATAAAAAAGAGTTAATAGTTTAGAAAATAATTGATGCTACTATATAAAAAAAGTTTACTATTTTCTATAAAAAAAATATAAATATAAAATATTTTCCAAAATATATATTAAAATAGTATTTATTATTTTATTTAAAAAATAAATATAAATTAATTTAGAAAAGAAAAAGAAAATACCAAAATATAAAAAGAAATATAAATAACATGGAGTGTATTTTTGTTTTAATTAAGTAAACGAGGGGGTCTGGATAACAAGGGCTAAGCCCAGAACATGATTGGAGCCCAAACGCATAGGGGGTATGTTCTTATTTCAATGTAGCAATATGAAGGGTGTCAATATCATTGAGCCAAGCCTAGGTAAACATTTTGAGTTTGTTTGGACAAGTTACAAAGATGACCATGGCAAAGTGTGGGATCAGCGCTTTTACGAGCGTTTGATTTGAATCACAGGGCCATCAGAAGTTAATTTTGAGGCGTTGATCTAAAGTATGCTAAACGAATGGGTAAGATTAAGCATTGACTGAGAAATAAGGTGGGGAGCACGTAGGACACCGATCAACGATCTCCTTATCTAGTGGCCAATAAATGACCACACAGAGCGCATTAGTGAGAGAACGGAGTGGGTATACAATTCTTTTCCCTACATATTTTTTCATTTTCTTCGTTCTCATTCTCTCTCTAACCTCAAACCCTCTCTCTCTAACCCCCAAATATTATGCCCTCTCTCTAAATAAAACACCCCATCACAGGCCGGAAATCGTCTCCGCGGGTGGTTGTTCTTTATTCGTCCCAAAAATACCGTGAAACCCAGTTCTCCGGTTGAACTCCAACCCGGAACTTCAACATAACCCATAAATTCATCCCAAACCTAAGAACCCTATGGTGCCATTAGAACCCTGACTCTTAAACCACTGTGGGTGGCTGTCAAGGCCGCCATGAGAGATGAGTGTTTGCATGGAACGCCATCATAAAACCCAGAAAGCGATGAACCCTGGCCTAAACCCGATGAACCCTAATCCCA